GGAGAATGATCAAATTGTGATATTGGTTTGCATGACAACACACCAGTGTACGATATATAAGGACTTCGGCAGTTAAGAAAGTGTGTTGTGAATAACGTATTTCATTTTGCTATCCAAGAACCACTAATCTGTGCTGAGAAATTAGTAGGTTCACCCTTGCTGGTGTTAGGAATGATTCGGACCAAGATGCTATTTAAAAGTATGATTGGTCATTATAGATCTTATTAAAAGACCACAGACATGTCATATTGCCCTTGGTGTTGCGATAGCCAGTTAGTACACGTTTGGAAGTATGTCGTTGTTTCTGTACAGCTGCTAATTGGGTTCGGTCAAACCGCTTAGGTCCCAAGTGACCAGTAACCTGTAACCTGTAAAATAACAGCCACGAAAAATTGTTGATACGGGTGCTACAATTTGGTTCTATGTTTGTTTTTTTCTGTACATTTACTAAGTCAAGACCCCGTTTAAACAAAAAATAAACTGATAATTAACGAATAAAACCACGGATTGTTTTATTTGATGATTTTAGACACATGGTTTAAGTGTACCAGGTATATTTGGATTATTATTAGTATAAACATATTCTAATACTTTATATAACATAGGATCATGTTTAGCTATATACTGACGAGCAGCTAGGTCACTTGAACACACGTGGGATCCACCACACCTGCAAATACGTTATATAAAAACAACATTCATGAGAATGGTTAATTATTCTGGGCACAGGCAAAATGTTGGACAAAACAACACCATATTTTAAAATTAAAATGTCGGACAAAACAACACCATATTTTGAAATTAAACTTTAACTAATCGTCTTTAAGTTGCTACAATTTATAATCTGTCCAAAAATTAGACCATTCGTTCTGGTTAAAAGACTTTAGAATCTGCCCTAAAAGCAGACCAGTTGTATTTGCACGTACATCCTTGTTAAAGACACTAAAAGCAGACCAGTCGTATTGCACGTACATCCCAGTTAAAAAATATTAGAATCTGTCCTAATCGCAGACCAGTTGTACTTTCCGTACATCCAAGTAAAAGATATTGGAATCTGTCCTAAAAGCAGACCAGTCGTATTGCAAGTATATCCAGGTTAAAGATTGCCGATGACATCGACAAGAGTGCAACCCGCAATAACGGTAAATAGGCCAAGGTCAAATAGTGGCAGTGTCATACTACGATTTCTCAGCTTCGACTAAGAATTTATTACCGAATTAAACAAAATCCTTACATATTTAGTCCCCCAGTAACGTCTGTTCTGACCGTAGACAGGAAGAAAGAAGCCGTAGCTTCAGCCCAGTACTCTCCACTAGTAGCCATAGCATACTGATGATTATTCCATAGATTATTAGATTTGGCATGGTTGTAAGCGGCAGTTATCTAAAATACAAAAATGTTATCGCCCATGAATTACCATTTGTAGGTAACACGATGGTTCAGTGTGTAAGGAAGGCACTGGTTCACTAGCCATGGTGTGGTGGGTTCGATCTGAGAAAGTTCCCCGGGCTTTTCTTCCATGGTGTTTCATTGTCAATGGTGTGGCGCGGATGACCTGGCAAGAAACAGTGTTTAGTCGTTCGGGTGATACGCAATACGGCGGTCCCGTGTACACATTTCCGTGGACGTACAGAACTCTTGACAGTTGGAATGCGACGAAGAGAAGGATGAGCTAACGCCGTTGTCCAGGCAAAATTTGCATCTCTTAATGGTGATTGAAACAGGTTTTCCCCCCTACCTTTATGCCCCAACCGGGATAAATGAAGCCGGGATACACATAGAGTGCGCCGGGAGGGAAATTTTAGCCCAGACAGTGGCTCTACAGCCTACTCCTATTTATGATTCCATTAAGTTAGCCAGCCAGCGTCTCCATTAGCCCTGCTGGTTTAGAAAGTCAGACATAGAGTGCGTCGTGAGGGAAATTTAGCCCGGACAGCGGCGCTACGGTCTACTCCTATTTCTCATTCCATTTGGTAAGCGAGCCAGCGTCTCCATTGGTCTCAATTTTGCCCTTTGTTTATTGGACCGTGTCCTTGAGACTATAAAATGCCGGACCTACCCATGTTTTGGCCCACTGAGGTTAATACACAGTCCTACCTGCGATTTATATTTTGATGGCATGTAATGATTAACCAAATGTCCAAATTCATGAACCAGGGTGTTCTGGTGATGGTGATTCTTATCCTGAGAATCACATATAACGTTATCATCGACTACAGCAGATATTGATGACGTCAAACCACCCAAAGATTCATATTTCCTACCATCAAAAGTACAGGTGTGTGCACAACTTCCGCTACAAGAACCTGTAAATGAAATTAAAATGTACCTGCTGTATCACGATGAAGACTGGCCAAATAGAGACTGACTTTAAGAATAAACAAAAGCTTACCATGGCACGATGGGGTATCGCGCAGATGGGAATATTCCGGATAAACGGTTAACCCCTCCTTAGCTGAGAAAATACCAACGCCATGAGATGTAGCTAGATGGGTAAACACCTCCGATGGCATGTGTCGTACCATTTTACTTACTACAAGTGCAGCCTTAAAATACAAATAAATATATAATTACAGTAAATAGTATATTGCCACCGCTTCCCTGTATTAAATCATTCGTGTGTTTTAATAACAAAAAGAAGTCTTTAATTGTCACAAAATCGTTTATTGCAACTAGTTCCTCTTTTAGATCACGCATCTTTCGTTACGTTACCGCAGTATGTTAATACATGACGTTAAGATAAACCGTTCGTTATAAAACATTAAATCGTTCATTAGAATACGTTAAAAGATGGCGTGATTATGGTTTTGATGATTACGTTTGATGACTACGTTTGATGATTACGTTTGATGAGATGATTACGCTTTGATGATGACTACATTTGATGAATACGTTTGAGGAGATGATTACGTTTTGGTGAGAAGATGATGACTACATTTGATGAACACGTTTGATAAGATGATTACGTTTTGATGATAAGATGATGACTACATTTGATGGTTTCTCTACAATAAAAATAATACATCCTTACAATTAAATAATAAAATGAGTTTAACATTCTCATATCTGAACATCGTTACAAATAAACTTACTCAAGTACTAGAGGGGAGAGTTGTCCCTTTAAGCGTATCGTCCCTTGTACTTGCAGGAAAGCCACGTGCGCAACGACATACACGGGCGATACGAGTGTAATTCATCGATACAACGCAAACATTAAACATGCATTATGCAAGAGCAAAATCTGCTTATTACAAGTCTTTCTTTAGGCCTGAAATGTAATCTAAATTATCAATTAGACATTAATTAACTTATCCAGACCATAATAAACTCTCGATGTCAATAAGGCTAGCCTTCGATGTTGGCTGGATTAGATTCCTATATGCCGCTAACGGCCATTGATAATTAAATCAAAAGAGTGGATAATCGAGACTATGCTGTTTATATTAAAGATTTTAGTAATGATGACCGAGACTATGCAAAAATTTCACCCGCTTCTTTCTCGGCTCATAGTGGATCAATTTGACTGAAATTTTCAGCAAATTACCTTTACACTATCGAGTTTTTAACTATTATAGCGAGAACTGCCATCTCTTTATCTTATCTCCCATAATGTATCTTTAATTTATGCAGTTAAAAGGTAAAACATTTAAAGAACTATACATAAATCTTGATCAGAATACATCTATGTACCAAATTATAATCATTAAAAAGCTTACTAACATCTTGTGGGAACTACAGGGCAAAAAGAAAATACGTTTTACATTTTCATGAACAACAAACTATGGTGACTTTCGTTAACTATACGACCTTGACCGTAAATAAACTAATTTAAGAAAAGGACAAGAATCATAACATTATAAAATAAAGCCTCGGATACACCATAAATGAAAGTAATGCCAATTCTGCCGTAGCAGTATGTGATAACCTATTATATTGTCATATAAATAAGTTGCTTAGTTACTGCCATCGTTGTATCTACATTGAGGTAAATAAAATGAGACTGAGAGTAATATTAATGTCTGGAAAAAGAAATCGCGTTCGGAAAGACAATCTAGCTAGCTGACGTAGAATTGATTCACCACTCCTACACCTTATCTCCTTCTTATCAAAACTGGGACCTCTATGTAACCTATAGGTGCCTCAGGGTTATTTTTATTTGACTAATCATCGCTAGATTAAATATCATGTGATGTTACATTTTGGTGGAAACGGGGACACAGGACGCGCACATATGTCGCCGTGATTTCAACTGCATCATTAACCAGTCGAGCAGGGCTGGGGATAACCCATTTGTCGATACACATCGAACCGACCCACAATGGTCATTAACCTAATGGTCATTTACCTAATTCTATTGTGCTCATTAGTCCCAACGTTTCAAAACTTTTACCTAACATATAGCTATGAAGATGAATCTATTTTCTGCTAACTGGTGATGTATCAATGGGTCGCTGATTAAATGTGCATTATGTAAGATCTAGACAAAGAGCTGGCCGTTCTTGTTATAATAATTCAAAAATAGATAATGACCAATGAATATGTTGTAAATTTCTTTCTGAGCGAAGTTATCAGTGTTTGAAGACGGGGTGTTGTTTATCTTCGTAGCAACGGTACTTGACTGTCGAGACTAATTCTAGATTATCCAGTTTTAAATCAAATTATTAAAAGGCGATCGTGTTTCACTCTGTTTAAATCTCAACCACCCGATGATCAACAAAGTTGATTATAGTCATGTCCCCCAACGCTCAGCCACCGTCAATGGGAAAGCGTACTAGAAAATAGCGGGAACTGTCTGTCTGCCAATATCGGGATCCAATCCCACATCTCTTGATTAGCGAGCCAGCGCCTTACCTACCGAGCCACTCTAGTTCAAACAATGTATAAATAGAAAGAATAAATAAATAAATTGTTGTACAACCTTTTCAAGTGCAGTTGAATGGCAGTTCGTTGTTGCTGAAATAGTGACCAATGACCCTGCTGATTTGACATGGGGAAATAACACCAGCATTATTTACATATCTATGAAGGAACGACGCCTTGGTGTAATATCCTGGATTATGTACGAGGGGTACAAACCTATAACATAATGTTTTACAAAGAAAATCGTTATGACCACTTTAAAAGCTTTGTATTTATGTCGGTACATTCGAGTATGGGCATTATATTTGGTTTTGTTTAAACCAGTAACATGGGCTAAATTGAATTAGAAAGGGACATATTATGTTGATAAACAGCAGTGGTACATTGGTAGCTCATTTGCATATTTTAACATCTGGCTTATCTCATTGCATTCTCTCGTCTTCAAAACATAGGTAGAGGAACTTCATCTGTCATCTGTGCTTGCCTGGTTACATAGATATTGGAGAAAATGTGTCGAAAATTGGCAGTCTCAAAATTGAACACTTGAATCACTAGATTACGGGCATAACCCGTGACTATACAAGTGTTAAATTTAACTTACTGAACTCCAGCTAAATGATCCTCAGATGGTGGTTCTGCTGCCACACAAACGGCAACCAGAATCCCTGTATTTATATATAATACATTACAGTTATAAATTAAAGTTGGCTCATCTTGACCCGCTTCTCGTACTATCGACGATGTAATGTTTTGCTGCAAAACCCGGTAATGAACAATTCGCCGATGTCAATCAAATCATGTCATCGCGTCCCAATCAGCTTTCTCTAACCAGGCTCTAATGATACCAGCATTAAAGGCACATCTCCCAATTGGCCATGTCTAGACAACTTTAAATCTGGTCTTTAAATCTGAGAGAGTTGATAATGAACGACATTTGTTAAATCTTTGACCTACTGGGTTGACACTATCTCAATGGTAGCTATAGCTCCATAATCATAAGATGGCACTTTTAATAGAGGCCGGTTAGCAATATGGAACAGTGCAATAAATAAAAACATCCATAGCCGTGTCATCATATATGTTGGTTGAAAGCTCGGTGTGAGTAAACTGTCTGGCATAGTGAACTGCATGTTCGTCAGACCCGAAGTCAGAGACGAGTTATTATAGATTACTAGCTTAATATGGAAACAAATACCAAATGTAATTTGCTTGTAAGCTGATTCTGAACTCTTGATATTATTAAATGTACCTACATTGCTACCGAGTTAACAATGTAAAAATCTAAAATCTGTTTATTACGCTTCTTGAGTTTCAAATTTCACAATTTGAGTATTTAAAAAACCACGAACCTTTCAATAATCATCAATCGTTTTACCTTCGTTTTTAATTTAACAAGCATATTTAATTTAATTTCATATTTTACATACAAATAAATTTTCATTTTTACATATAAATAACATTTCATTTTTTTTACATACAAATAAATTTTAATTTTTACATACAATTTTTTTATTTTTATTTTTTTTTTTTCATTTTTAAATCCAAGTAATGAAGTTTTCGTTTTATATTCTAATAAATTTTAGAATTTATTTTCTAAGAAATTTTTATCTTCATATTCAAATAAATGTAAATGTTTCAACTCAAACAAATTTGTTTTATATTCTAATAAATGCAGCGGCATACCTATGATAAGTGTCATCCTCGCCATAGTCGGGTTTTATTTAGCACTGCTATCTGACTTAATAGATAATGTTTAGAAAACGTGGCAAGTGTAACCGCATTTTCTTGCATGACCTCATGGCAACCCCATTGATAAAAGATATCAAAAGATAAACGCCATTACATTACTGTTTCCTTTTTAGCAGTAAAACATGCAGCATACACCTCGCGGTGATTCGTTTGATTAGACCTATATAATCTAACTGCCATACTCTATGCTAATTTATGTCCCAAATTATGACTGGTTAACAACCGATACATTATAGCGTAACAATATCAATTGGAATTAACAAGAGCTTTAAATATGTTAACGGAAATGAAATGAAATGGGGTTTAACGTCCTACTGTTCTGCTCCGACTGGGATAATGAAGAAGGAATGTGTTAACGTACAAATTTATGCGGCTAAATTACGTCATAACGCGCGAAATTTATTATGCTGAATTAACCATCTATTGGGGAACTATGCAGACGAACATTTTCACCATCTTTTAATACAGTTTTAGACATGACACCCCCCCCCCATCCCATCCCCGGTTTTAGCTCTCAGTACAGCAGTGGCTGTAGAGGGAAATTGCATCAGAGATATTGCAAAGCAGTGGCTTTATAGAATTGTTCAAATTCAAATTCAAGCTAATCAAAGCGAAAAGGGCTTAAAACAGAGTTTTCGTATGAGATGTCAACAAAAGAAATGAAATAGTGTTAGTCTTGATTTTTCTGTACCATCCGTGTTGATCGAGACGTTGAGATGTAGATGTATTTATAGTTCTTTATAGTATGTTTCAAGATTTATAGCAGAAGTGTGAGCAGGTGTGTTGGAAATCGTAAGTAAGCATACGCTGCCTTTGGTACCTACTTTCGGCGATATAAAGATAAATATGGGCCGAGTACACATCCATGAGGAACTCCAGAACTTTATATAAATTATTTCATTTAAAAACCTCCCAAACTAGGTATTGTTGTCTATCACTTATATAATGTTCAATCCATTTAGAGAATAAAGCATGCGAAACTTTATAAAACGCTTTTAATATATTACCATCATCAGTTCAAATTTCGTTGCATTTAACAAAATTACTTATTATAGCAACATAAAAGTTGATTTATCGTAGAATCGTTCGTTTCAAACCAAGTTGATAATTATATAATAAATTATTTATAAAATTATAAAGATTTAGCAAGATAAGGTGTGGTGAATGAACCATGTGTTAGTCCCGAAATGATCTAGTTTTTGTCGAGTGGACGTTAAACTCCATTTCTCATTCTCTCTCTTGCTCATCCGTGGTTGGACTATTTCCAAACGCCTGCATCTTTTAATTCCTGTATATAATTTAACAGAATTTGTATTTTCCACATATTCTGTCATGTTATATGTATTAAATGTTGGCACATGATATTTGTGTAAAACAGAGTCTATTTCAGATATAAAATGCAGCACTGAAGCCTTTGCATGAACTGGGTTGTTGCCCGTTTTTAATATTCCCGGAGAATGGGGAGATGCCCATAATAATTTAGGCCAATTGTGATGTCCTTTTGTTTTTACTGCAGGTTTGATATACTTTTTGTTAATGTTTGATATATTAAAACCGTCCTGGAGGCCAACACCAAACATTACCAACGATTTCGGTGCACGTTTTATAGTTTGTATCCTCTTGACGAAGCCGGCGCCGAAACCAGAAGAGTAAAAGTAGTTAAACATTAGTTTAAACTTTCCACCACACACATCTTGTAATCGAGAATCAGATTCTAGCTTGAGTCTACAAACCTTCTCTGTAAACATATACATCCCTGTACATTGCTCATGGATAGCTGAAACATACAATGAACAAATACTTAATAAAGTGAAATTGGGTTTAACGTCCTATTTTTCTGCAACAACCAGGATAATGATAACCGGTACATGTTACTATGAGGGCCATGGTGGCAAGTTTGGCAATTTCCGTCTACTCTGCATCTAATGTCAATTATCATGGATTTTTCGTTACGTGCACGCCATCGAGTACACGAAATGGAGCTCGCTCGGAATTTTGTACCATCCAAAAGATTTTTATTTATTTTTTTCGTGGGGGGGGGGGGGGAGAGTTTTGCAGCACAGAAATGGTGAACTTAACTGGACAACCTTGAAGATCTTTCGCGGCCAAAACCAGGGCCGAGACAATCTGGTAAGTGAACCAGCACTTCTGGGCTGTCGTGGCCTCTTATATAATATAATATAGCATCAAAGTGCTTTTAGGAGATCACGTGGCTAAGTGGGTAAGACGCTGGCTCGCTAGCTTGGAGGTCGGGTGTTCGATCCCTGCATTGGCCGAGAAAGTTCATTCAGATTTTCCGGCGTGCTTTCCCCTTGTCAGTGATGCAGGATGGAGGGCCTGACAAGGACAGCTGTCTAGTCGTTCGGATGGGACGAAAAACCGAGGTACCGTGTACACATTGGTGTGCACGTAAAAGATCCCTTGGTAGTTGGAATTCGATATAAGAGTAGGCCGTAGTGCCGCTGCCCGGGCAAAATTTCCCTCATAGAACACTTTATGGCGTATGCCCGTCTTCATTAGCCCAGGTTTGGAGCAGAACAGTAGGACGTTAAACCTTATTTCATTTCATTTCTTTGCAAGTTTGTGTTTAGAGATGTCCACGGTACTTACAAGTTAGAGGTGTAAATTCTCTTTGGATATAAGAGACTTCGTATAATTTTTCAATTTAATATACACCAACATAAATATACTTATATCGTCATTCAGTACTATCTATCGCGACAACTCAGTTACTGCATATAGAAAGGGACCGTATCTAGATATATGTGGACCAATGTTCACTTTCGTAAAGGATTAAAGATACATTATTGGAGATTAGATAAAGAGCTGGCGGTTCTCACTATAATAGTTAAAAACTAAATAGTGTAAAGGTAATTTGCTGTAAATTTCAGTCAAATTGATCCACTATGAATTTAGCGATTTAATGTTGGGCCTAGCCTCGATCATCATTACTAAAGTCGGTACGATAAAAAAACATAGTCTCGATTATCCATTTCTTGATTTAATCATGGATGAGCGTAGAGCAGCAGATCGGGTCCTAATTCAGTAAATATCGCAGGATAGCGATGATATCGAGAGTTGATTATGGTCTGGATAAGTTAATTAATGCCTTATTAATAATTTAGATAACATTTCAGACCCAAAGAAAAACCTGCAATAGGCAGATTTAGCTCTTGCATAATGTATATTTAAAGTAATTATTGTAAATAAATTTAACATTATAAAGGATTAAACACTATAATACTTAAACAAAAACAATAAATAGGATGTTAAAGTGAATAAAGGGGCATTATTTAAGATTTAGGTAAAGAACTGACAGTCCTCGCTATAATAGTTAAAAATGGATAATGAAAAGCCGATATGTTAAAAATTTCTGTCAAATTACCGCCGAGTTATCGGCGTAAAGTGAACAGTTTAGTCTCGATTGTCATTGCTACCATTTTTAAGATAATAAACCGAATTCCTATTGGAATCTGTTGAAAATCTCGAGTATCCGATGGCATCGACAGTTGATAATTGTCTTGGTAAGTTAATAAATTGTTAATTAATATTTTATATAACATTTGAGGCATATAGAAAGTCCTGGAATAGACAGGTTTAGCTCTTGGATAATAATGCCCCTTTAATGCAAGAAACATTAATGATAGCAATTGGCGGATTAACACACTATTATATTATGTTAATTTATAACATCTTTGTCGACGACCATTAAAATGATTATTATGAACGTTTGTAAAAAAAATAAATAAAGGTTGGGGGTGTAACTCCGGAACGCGAGGTCGTAGAAAGGTTTACATCGATGTACACTAATTTTTGCTTTCCATAATAAATGACCGGGATATTTCACCAACGTTTTAGTCGCGGACGGTTTTGGTCATTTAGTTTAAATAGGTGCAAATGGTGGTAATGAGAACTAACTTGGTCCGTATTCATGAAAACTTAAACTATTTTTTTTTTTAAGGATGTGGTCAAATGCCTGCCCTGTGGGTTATAAGGTTTAGAGTATCGGTTCTCACTGACAGCGCCTCCTACCCCTTTTTCCATTTCCAGGTCTGATGGAATCGTCTTAAACTAAAATTCCATCCTAACTTAAGATACGTTTCACAAAACAGTTTTAAGCATTTTTAGATAAAATCCACTAAAATCCGGGTCACATAATTTTAACATACATGTACTATCATTCACAAAAAAATTCTCATTCAGTTTCATTTCATAGCATGAGAAAATATAGCTGCGGCCCAACCGTTTATTTTATTGTAGGGCAGTTTAAGCAATAAGGTGACGCCCGAAATTAGAACCCAAAACACTAAACAAAACTCTTTGTTATATATTACATTATGATTCAAGTATAAATTATACCATTTTCAAAAAATTAATGGATAAAAAAAAAGACAACAAAAAAACCTAAAACAAGATCTGAACTCACTTCACATCTAATGGCATAGAACGGAGAGCACTCTAATCTACATTAAAAAAATCTTTGTGTTTGTATGCAATGGTTTGAAATTGCCAATTCCTTGGTATTAGAAAGCCTGCAGGCCATATGAAAAGTGGTTATGATGATTTGTAAAAAGATAATCAATAACTAAAATTTGTTAAAATTGCATTTTAAGTTACAATCAATATTCGTGGAACGCATAAAATTTAAAATTTCATTTTGATTTTAGTTAGAATCTATTTTATTGATTTTAGTTTAAGTTTTTGTGAAGCAGGGCCCTGACTTCTAGTTTTCGTCAAATCCAAACGAATAGAGATATTTTCTCCTGGTTAGTAAGCTAGCTTCATCATACTCACCGAGCAAATGTGCTCACGTCAAAGTCGCAGTAAATGAATATCCCTTAGAATATATTAATTTGACTGACGTTTTCAATATATTCATGTATCATAATTTTATTGAGTAGACTATTATAGCAAGAAGGACTAGCGCTATCTAAATCATAATAATACAAAATTCAATATTAGACATGCACAGAGAAAGCACCCT